AAAAAAAAAAAAAATAGCACTTGAATAACTGGTTTACAATTTGGATAAACATTGAGGAGAGCCTACTTCAAACCACAGGCACAAAACATTCCAAAAAGATTCAATTTTTAAATCTAAAAGTGAAATTGTAGAAGTCTTACAAACGCTTATCTTCTTATTGTCATTTTGAATTTTTACACGCTACATTGCAATCCTCCTGCTTTAGGGGTGACCCTGCCCCTCCTGGCCCACGTGTCTCCCAGGCTCTGATTCTGCAGCTTTTACACTGATGACTCTGGAAGGAGCAGCTTCAACCCCCACCTTACTGAACTCCAGAGCCATAAACTCGCTTCCCTTCTGGCCTCCACCTAAGCATCCCCAGAAGTCAACACCTGCCAAACCCAACTTATTCACCTCTCCAACACCCCACCTAACCAGTGCCCCTCCCCCCATACCCATCAAATGCAGCCACCCAGGCCAACAATACCTAGAAGTCACCTCTCACTCGCCCCTTCCTACTTCCCACTCCCACAAGGCTTGCATGGTGGTCAAGAGTTTGGACCTGGGTTTAGGGTGTCAGGCTTGAATCCAAACTCTGCTTCTTGATATCTGTGACTTTAAGCAAAGGACTTCACTGTTCTTGCTCTCAGATTCCTAAGGAGAGTAACAATATGCACTTTACAGGTATACGATGGTGGCATCAGTGAGTTACCATCTCTGTACAGTGTTTGGATTCTTTTTTTTTTTTTAGACAGAGTCTCACTTTGTCACGCTAGGTAGAGTGGCATAGGGTCATAGCTCACAGCAATCTCAAACTCTTGGGCTCAAGCGATTCTCTTGCCTCAGCCTCCCGAATAGCTGGGACTACAAGTACCCACCACAATGGCTGGCTATTTTTAGAGGTGAGTTCTCACTCTGGCTCAGGCTGGTCTCGAACCTGTGAGCTCAGGCAATCCACCTGCCTCAGCCTCCCAAGTGCTAGGGTTACAGGCGTGAGCCACCATGCCTGGCCTTCTGTACAGTGTTTGGGACAGTATCTGGGACTTTCTAAGAGCTCCGTAAATGTTGGCTACTTGTTATGACAAAGATTTTTACCCAGTAAAGTCCAGTTCAGGCCTCCTCCATGTTAGCAGATTTCACTTCCTGGGCCCTCAGCTGGCTCCATGCTCTGGCTCCATTGCCACCACCCAGTAGCACTTGTGGAGTGCTAGCTGTGTGCATTGCTTTGGGGGGAGGGACCTATTAACTTGTCACCCCCTCCCCCCTGTTCACAGGTTTGTCTAGGGCCCAGTGTCCTTGTTTGTCCTGGAGTGTAGGAGGAGTTGGGCTCAGATGATTAACAGAAGACACTCACTGATTAACAGAAGACAAAAGGCTTGGCCTGGGAACAGGCTTGCGCACAAATGGCCTTCATTCAGTAGGATCCAGCAAGCCAGGGGTGAGAATGTTCATGACCAGTTAAAACTCCCTCACAGTTATGGGTTTCATGTACAGAACTGCATTAAATACCAGAAAGGTCATTTCTGGATTCAAACTGCCAACACCCAGCCTCTTGAGAGTACATGCATGAGGCTGGGCTAAGAACCCAGTGTGAGTGACCTGAGACCCCTGCCTGGAACAGTGTGGCCAAGATGGAACAGACCTAGCTTGGACGGTCAGGGCACTCAGGCCCTGAGAATGGGGATGGTTCATTATGGCAACCCCCCCCCCCCACGTTCTGACAGCCTATTAACTGGGGTAAAGACACCTACACACACTTACACAGAACTCTCCTGGGGATGCCCCTTCACCCACCGACCCCAAGGCACACCTGCCAGTCCCAGCCTCTGGGGCAGTGAGAGTCATGCTTGGCAGCATGGCGCCAAATCTTAGTTCGGTAGGGCTGCATGGCACATAATGCACAAGGCGCACGCTTGGAGCCCCACACTTACACCCCACACAAAGGCGCACTGTCACTGTCACTCCCTGAACATGCTCAGTCACCACACAGCACAATCCCACACTCTCCTTGTGGAGACCCACACTCCCAGCATCCCCTCTCCAGCTCTCCAGAGCATCCCCTCTTCCGCCCTAGGCCCGCCCCCTTCGGCTTCGGTCCCGCCCCAGGCCCGCCCCTTCAGCTCAGGCCCTGCCCTAGTCCCCGCCCCTTCAGCTCCGGTGCCAATCCATTTCCCGTCCTGCTTTTGCGCGGTCCGTGTCACGCAGCTGCACTGTAGATGAGGCCTGTGCGACTCATGAAGGTGTTCGTCACCCGCCGGATCCCGCCCGAGGGCATTGCTGCGCTCACCCGGGCTGCAGAGTAAGAGCCCGACCCCTGCCCTCCGTTCCGCGGTCCCCTCCTACGAGCACCCTGCTGGGGGTGGTGTGGGGACGAATCCCCAGAGCCCGGAGCACCAGTGCCCTGGCCACCCTGCGGGTGCCCGCCCGAAGCTGCACCAGGGCGGACTGGGGGTGGCTTTTAGAGGGCCCAGTTGTTCCGGGGTGGAGGTAAGAGAGGAGGACGGGAAGGTCCCAAGGACCCGGCAGAGCCAAGTCTGGCGCTTGGGCCTGAACCAAACTTTTCAACTGTGTCCAGCTGGGACCTGCCGGAGTTTTGGGAAGACTTAGAAAAAGTTCTCTGGGGCCCAGCTTTCCCCACTTGCGATGACCCTGGGACCTGCAATTCCCCTAGGCGCTGGGTGTGTAGGAGGGGCACCTGGAGAGGGTCATGACCTTTGGATAGAGAAATTGGCCATGAGACAAGGCAAAGTCCAAGCTGTTAATTCTTGACTCTCCCCCAGGGAGATGAGGTCAGGGACCATGGTGATCGCTGACCCACCCCCTTGGATGTTTGCCTATGGGCCTTTGAAGACCTTTTTTAAACTGAACCCTTTCTGTCTGCCAGCCTTGCCAGGTGCTTCATATACATAAATTTATATTCATTGCAACACAGTGAAGTCAGTATTATAATTCCCACTTCACAGATTAAAAACTGGATGCTGGGAGGGGCTAAGTATTGTCTGAAGTCATACAGCTCCCAGGTGGTGGGGCTGGGGTTCATACTCAGCCCTCTCTACTGCATTTTATCAGATCTGCATTTCCAGTATCAGGAAGAGGTGGGACCCAGTCTTAGCAACCAATTCTAGAGGAAAATGAAATTTTAAAATTTCGTTCAGGGCAACAAAACCTTTGCTGAGGACCTGCTTTGTAGAAGCAGGAGAAAGTGGAAAGTGGAAAACAGCACTAGTAGTAGCAGCAGCTCACTGTGTGCCCTGCTGGGGCAAAGGGAGATGAAAGCGCTTGGGACTCAGTAGGCACCTGGGGCTCAGGGGGCGAGGTGCTGCGAGTGTCCTGAGCACACATAGACGCTCCCTGCGTGTTGGCTGCACTGAATTCATTGGCAAGGGCTGGAGGCAGAGCAGCTCCACTGGGAAAAAAGCCTGGTTCTCACAAGCAGCCATAGAAGCCGCCCTGAAGCTCTCGGCGTGCAGTTGCTTCGTCTCATAAGATCTCCAGTCTGGTAGTTTTCTGGACTCGTAAGACACCCTGTATGATGTATGAACACCCCCCACAGATACTCACACTGCCCTTCCCTACAGTGGGCTGCTGCTTGGCCACTCGAGACCTCCTGTGAGTGGGAGAAAGCTCTTGCGTTGTGCTGAGATCCACCCCCAGGACTTTCCCTTGTAGTTCAGGCTCTGCTTTGGGGTCCCCTCAGCCCTGTCAGCTTCCTCTGTGACAACCTTCATTCTCCCACCACTCTCTTAGAACAGTTCTGAGGCTACCCAGGCCTGACTTTGACTCCCCATAGCTAGTCCCAGGCAGTGGGGTCAGAGCAAACAAACAGAAGGTGGAGTTTCCCAGCTCTCAGTACCAGGGCACGTGTGCAGCTGCCTGCCTCTCTTTTCCCCTCAGCTGTGAGGTGGAGCAGTGGGATTCGGATGAGCCCATTCCAAGCAAGGAGCTGGAACGGGGTTTGGCAGGGGCCCATGGCCTGCTCTGCCTCCTCTCTGACCGAGTGGACAAGAGGCTCCTGGATGCTGCAGGTCAGTGCACTGGGCAGGGCTGGGGAGGACTGCGAGGTGTCAGCCTCGTGGGGACACATCACCCTGCTGCTCCTGGCTCCCAGGCAACTCTGCAGGGCTCTCCCTGGGTTCTGAGTGTGTTTCTGGCAGTATCAGGCCAGAGGGGCAGTTTGCAGCTCCATCTGGCACACAGCACACATACTGCCCCTCCCTGCTGCTGTGAACCTTGGGGCACCCTAGAAGGGTAGAGACCATGGTGAGGAGACAGTGGGCTCTCCTCCAGCCCTGCCACAACCTTGCTTTGTGACTTTGTGCAAGACCCTGCCCCTCCTGGGCCTGTGTATAGAAGCAGGAGGACCTAGCTCAGTGCTAAGCACTAGCAGGCACCCCAGGATGTGTTTCCTGCCAGCCACAGGTTCCAGCCCTGGGCTGGGTGAACATCAATCACCCTGTGAAGTAGTTGTGACAGTTTTAAGAAAAGGTTCAGACTCAGCTACTGGATGTAGAAGGCTCCTTGTGAGTCAGTACTGTGGTAATCCCTGCCTGACAGCCTAGAAGTTTCTGGTGCCGTTTGGAGGAGAGCGTGTGAGAGTGTCACACTCCAACTGCCTTCTTGGTGCTCTCAGAGGTGTCCATGGGGAGGCCCCAAGTGTGGCTGAAGGAGACCTGAGTCTTCATGGAGTGAATAGTACAGCGAATAGGCACGGGGTACTGGTGACGGAGGCCCTGTGTGAACCCCAGCTCTGCTGAAGACTGGACCAGGCTATTTACCCTCCCTGAGCCACAGTGTCCACAGCTGGACAAAAAAGGATAGTTCAGGCTTGGCCCCTGTAGCTCAGTGGCTGGGGTGCCAGCCCACTAACACCAGAGCTGGCAGGTGAAAACCCAGCCTGGGCCTGCCAAATAATGAGAACTGCAACCAAAAAATAGCTGGGTGTTATGGTGGACACCTGTAGTTTCAGCTACTTGGGAGGCTGAGGCAAGAGAATCACTTGAGCCCGAGAGTTTGAGGTTGCTGTGAGCTGTGACGCCTCATCACTCTACTGAGGTCAACATAGTGAGACTGTCTCAAAAAAAAAAAAAAAGAAAGAAAGGATAGTTCAGAGTTTCAACTGAAGAGCAGTGATAAAAGCTATTCCTTTTACTCTAAGAAAATAATAATAAGCAAGTGTCCCCATGCTAGTCCCCAGCAATGTGGCTTTAAATTCCAAGAGGAAAGGTATTAATGATGCCTTTTCTGTGCAACAGGAGCCAATCTCAAAGTCATCAGCACACTGTCCGTGGGTATTGACCACTTGGCTCTGGATGAAATCAAGAAGCGGTAATTGCACCTTGGGTTTAGAAGTTGGGCCTGGAGTGACTGTGAGGTGGGGGAAGAGGAGCTATTTGTTTTCACTTCATGTCCCTCAGCCATTCAGAGATTTAATGTAGCTGATGATAAAATCTGTCCACATATGCACAGATCAGTTACAATAAATCTGAGAGATCAGAAATAGTAGATAACTTCTATCTAGAAATCACTCTTTCTCATTCATTATCTTTTTTTGATCCTCACAAAAACCCCTTGAAGTTGGCTCGGCGCCTGTGGCTCAAGCGGCTAAGACGCCAGCCACGTACACCCAAGGTGGCAGGTTCAAATCCAGCCCGGACCCGCCAAACAACAATAATGGCTGCAACCAAAAAATAACCGGGCGTTGTGGCGGGTGCCTGTGGTCCCAGCTACTTGGGAGGCGGAGGCAGGAGACTCGCTTGAGCCCAGGAGTTGGAGGTTGCTGTGAGCAGTGAAGCCATAGCACTCTACCCAGGGGGACAGCTTTTTTGTCTCAAAAAAAAAAAAAAACCCTTGAAGTACAAAAGACAAGTATTATTTCCCTTTCAGATGAGGGCATTTAGAAAGGCTACTTGCCCCAGACCTTGAACTTTGATCTTCCATCTTCTTATTCTTCCCAAAATGGGAGGTAATCAACATGGAGATGAGGACTAACCATTCCTAAGTGTCCCTTTATAGTTTTGAGCTTCCTGACAGGCAGAGCAAGAAGGGAGCAAAGTAACATCATGGAAATGTCCCAGCAGTAGACGTTGGTGAAGGTTCTTGAGGCTGACGCTCATACCAGCTGTCTCATTTGTAGTGGGATCCGAGTGGGCTACACCCCAGATGTCCTTACAGACGCCACTGCTGAACTCGCAGTATCCCTGCTACTCACCACCTGCCGCCGTTTGCCAGAGGCCATTGAAGAAGTGAAGAAGTAAGTGAGCACCGGTGGGAAAGTTGGCTCTGCTTACTTAGCAGGTTCCTGAGCACCAGTGTCAGCTGGGCCCAGGCATAGTCCCTGTCCCTAGGTCTAGTGAGGGCCATAGATCTGCAATAAATGGCTGGAGAGGAAGTCATAAGAGTAGAGGAAAAGGGAGGGATAAGTCATCTCTGCTGGTTGGCACAAGAGTGGGGGAGGAGTGTGGATCACTTCCTGGAAGAGCAGCAGGTGGGCATCCTCTTGAACACTGAGAGAGAGGCCTGGGTCCACTGTCCTCACCCACAATGCTGAAATCTAAAAAGCTCTTAGTGCTGAAAGTTCTTTCATAAATTTTTGGGGAGCAAAACCTGACTGCACTAACATGAGGCTATTTAGGTTTTTATTTCTTTCACTCTATGTGAATATTCCTGAGCTCTGCAGTCCACACACCGTTGTGCTTAAAACAGGGTGCTGCTGACACTGCTGGGTGATGTAGAACACACCCTGCGCACTGCACTGCCTTTCTTTTTTTTTTTTTGAGACACTCTCACTATGTCACTTTTAGTAGAGTGGCTGTGGCATCATAGCTCACAACAACCTCAAACTCTTGGGCTTAAGCAATTCTATTGCCTCAGCCTTCCAAGACTCTTGCCTCAGTCTTCCTACAGACACCCGCCACAACACCCAGCTATTTTTTGGTTGTAGTTGTCATTGTGCATCAGGCCTGGGCTGGGTTCGAACCTGCCAGCCCCAGTGTATGTGGCTGGTGCCTTAACCACTGAGCTATAAGCGCCAAGCCCACACTGCCTTTCTAAAAACCAAACAATTTAAAAATTTGGCCTGAGGGTTTCAGATCAGGGATTTGGGTCCTGTATGTCAAGAGTTGGGGAAGACATCCCACGGGCAGGGCTGGCCTGGGGCGTGCAAGTGGCCCTCAGAGAATGGGGACCTGAAGTGCTAGGGCAGGGGGAGCTATGGGATTCACTAGACTTGATCTGAATGTCCTACTCTCTGGTTCATCTAAGAGTGGCCACCTTCATCAGAAGTGGCAACACAGAGTAGGCCTTGTGGCTTTGCTCTTTGTCCTGGAGGGTTGAGAGAACTTGTTTTGAATTGCAAATCCTGAGTTTGTAGCCTCTTGCTCCCAACTCTCCCCTGGCTATGTGACATCAGGCAGGTCACCCTTTCTGGCCTCAGTTTCCCCTTCTGTAAAATGGGATGAGGCCCCTTCCAGGCCTTCATGTCTGTGTTCCTAATGGCTTTAAAGCAGGAGTTCCTGCTGCTTCCCCACAGCACCGAGTGGCTGAGTCTACTGTCAGTCTTGTGACCTGAGGGCAGGTTCATACTTTGGACCACTGCTAGGGGTACTGGGTCTGCTTGAGGCTGGGCTTCTCACCCCACTTCCTCCCCACAGCGGAGGCTGGACCTCATGGAAGCCCCTGTGGATGTGTGGCTACGGACTCACGCAGAGTACTGTCGGCATCATCGGGCTGGGGCGCATAGGTGAGGCTCCCAGCTGCCCCCTTGCCTGCCCCTAGATGTCATGGCACTCATGGTTTGCTTCTGAGTCCCTGGCACCACATGGCTGAATGCTGAAAGTCCTTTGGAAAGGGTTGCCTTGCCCACACCATCTCAGGGCACTTTGCATGCAGTGAGGATATATCTCTAGTGAGAGATGCCACTTTTGTAAAATACAGCAAACGAATACATTTGAAGGAGTGAGGAGTTCCTTGAGAACTTACTAGGTGATAGAAGCAAGTTGCTAAGGGCCAGGGTTCTTTATGATTCCAGCTCAGTAAAGAACAGATGAAGGCTGGGAACACTGGATTGGGGCCTTTAGAGGTGGTTCCAGGCCCAGGAGCACTGAGGCCTGGATTCTTGAAAGCAGATGACTTGTGAAGCCTTAACTCAGCCCCAAGAGATCAGTTGGCAGAGTTTCCCAGCAGCTCTGCAGACAAGGCAGAGCTATTTTTCTTCTGTGGCCTCAGTTTGGAGAAGTCTGGTAGAAAGGCTTGGGCTGACCAGCCTAAGCAAGACTGAGACCCTGTCTCTACCAAAAATAGAAAAAGAAAAGTAGTTGGGCATTGTGGTGGGTGCCTGTAGTCCCAGCTACTTGGGAGGCTGAGGCAGGAGGATTGCTCAAGCCCGGGAGTTTGAGTTTGCTGTGAGCTACAATGCCACTGCACTCAACTCAGGGCAAAGAGTGCGACTATCTCAAAAAAAAGAAAGGTTTGGACCAAGCCAGGCAGCTGTGAGTGGTTCCCTCCTGCCTGGTGCAGGGGGAAGAGTGAGGGGAGAGCCTGTGGTGAGCTAGCAGCTCTGCCTCTCTCACTAGAGTTGCTTGGAGAAACTCAACAGCGTTGGGCATATTCTGAGTCTGAAAACCCAACCAGTCAAGCCTGTCTCAGAAGCAGCATGTATGAAAAGGTCTTGTAGGTTTAGGGCGAGTTGACATTGCCACGAAAAAGTCTTGAGAGGTTAGGGCAGCGCCTGCGGCTCAAAGGAGTGGGACGCCGGCCCCATATACCAGAGGTTGGGTTCAAACCCGGCCCCGGCCAAAACCAAAGACTGAAAAAAAAAAGTCTTGAGACGTCTGAGATGCATTCACAAAAATAGAGGCTCCAGAAGGAAGGAGGGAACTGCTTGACCAGGCATCTCCTGAGATACTAGTTCTGGTCTCAGAGAAGGTTGTCAAGTGGCCTTCGAGATGGTTGGGACCAGTGTCAGCCAGTCACAGCCACAGAGGAGCTGTCTCCAGGTCCCTGAGGGCAGTGTTGGCTGGCTGGGGGCTGGTTACACTAGGGCAGCCCCTAGCTGTGGATGAGAAGGGACCAGTTAACACTGGGGCTGTGCTGGTGGAAAGATCTGTCCCCCGAGAGCCTGTTGGATACTGCCCGGAGGGTTGGGAACAGCCCTGGACTCTTGACTCCTCGCCTCTAGGCCAGGCCATTGCTCGGCGACTGAAACCCTTCGGCGTCCAGAGATTTCTATACACAGGGCGCCAACCCAGGCCTGAGGAAGCAGCGGAGTTCCAGGCAGAGTTTGGTAAGTAAAACCTACGTTCCCACAGGAGCCCCATACCTGCCCAGTGGGGAGTTCTGTATCCCTGCATAGTGGCATTTGCAAGCAGAGCACAGGAGTCCCTGTGTGTCTGAGGGCGGCCACTCCTTCAGGTGTTGCCTGATCTGCTGCTCCAGACCACAGGCCAACTCTGGGAGTGTGGAATGTGCTCAGGTCTCAGGAGGGCACCCCAGGGCTCCTATCTCTCAGAGTCCCCTGTCACCACTCCTTGTGTAGCAGAGAAGCATGAATGAGGACAAACGTGAGGGAGAGCTGACCACTTTCACCCGCTTTCCTTGATAAACTGGTGGGCAGTACCCTGGCCTTTGTGTGCACCCCTCAGTCCCAGTGGATCCGCTCCCTGGTGGGGCACAGTGTGGTAAGCAGAGGGCAGGCTGGACTTCAGCTTTGCTTACCCCCTTGGCACTTTGGGCCCTGAAGGTGGTGAAAGCTAGAGTGGTCCAGACTCCAGTGTGACTTTGAAAATCTCCTGCCCCTCTCTGGCCTCAGTTTCCCCATCTGTTACACGAAGGGGCTTGGTGAATGGTTGTTGACTTTTTACAGTCATCCGGGTTGTCCAGGTAGAGAACAGGCCTTCAGGAAGTATCTTGGGAGCTTCTATTATGGGAGGAGGGAGGAAGGGTCTGGTCTTCCCATCTTGCTGTCCCTGACCTCTGACCAGTGTCTGATGGAGCCCTGCCCTCCCCAGTGTCTGTCCCCCAGCTGGCTGCCCACTCTGATTTCATTGTCGTGGCCTGCTCCTTAACACCTGAAACTAAGGAGCTCTGCAACAAGGACTTCTTCCAGAAGATGAAGAAAACAGCTGTGTTTGTCAACATCAGCAGGTATCCTAGGGCCAGTAGACATCCCTGGGTCACCCAGAGAGGAGCTGTCCCCACTGCTGTGATCTGGGGATCTTCTTCCCCATGGGTTGGTAATGAGATCCCAGGCCAAGCTGGCAGGTTTCCATCAACCAACCAACCGACTGAGAAATACACGAGATGTATAAGAGAGCCTGGGTGAGCAGGAAGAGCATCAGGACCAAGCCCAGCCTGGCTGGTTCCCAGCAACAGCCCTGGCCTGGCTCAGGGCCCGGCACTCAGTAGTGTTGATACAGGGAGCAAAGGTAGGATGAGCAGGAACTTAGTAGGGAACCTTGAGCAGGCCTTACCCCACAGAGGGGTGGACTTCATGGTCCAAATGGCCCTCCAGAGGCCAACTTCCTATGCTGCTGAGCCTGGGTCTGTCTGACTGTGACTGCAGTGATAGTTTGAACCTTTTGCTTCTGGGAAGTCTGATCCTAAAACTCAAGTTGTCCTGCTTCCTCAAATGTCCCAGGGGTGGCTTGGCATCCCATAGCATAGTGGTTATGCCAGCCACATACATCAAGGGTGGCAGGTTCAAACCCACCCTGGGCCAGCTAAACAACAATGACAACTGCAACAAAAAAATAGCTGGGCACCTGTAGTCCCAGCTACTTGGGAGCCTTAGGCAAGAGAATCACTTAAGCCAAAGACTTTGAGGTTGCTGTGAGCTGTGATGCCCTGGCACTCTACCAAGGGCAACATAGTGAGGCTCTGTCTCAAAAAAAGAAAACTGTCCCTGGGGGTGCTGCTGTGCATGTATGGAGGGCAGACCTTCCCTGTCTGCCTCTCTAGCCCCTTCTTAGCTGGTACCTGTTCAACCTGTTAAAGCCATTTGGAGGAAAGGATTGAACTAGGTTACTTCGAGGGTTCATCTACCTGAAAAGTGCCTATAGTTGCCAGAGTTTAGCTAAGAGGAGGTGACAGTGACGTGAGAGTGGCTGAGTGAAGCCTGTAGTACAGGGCAGTGCTTCTGGCCAGCAGTGGTCAGAGCTGCTATTTACTGAGCACCTGCACGCATCCAGGCGTACAGGGCCCTGCACTGTTCGTTATCACATAGTATGGAGTCTCTAGAAAACCAGTCCTGTACTTCAGGGGCTGCTAACTTCGATGGGGGAGGTGTTGGGTGTATGCTCATTTCTCTGCCCTTGTCTAGGCAGGGTCCTGATGGCATGCTGTGGTGGAATGGGTCACAAAACAAATGCAGACTTCTGGGCCCTGTTCATGCTATAGTGCATGTGCAAAAGCCCTAATCCTCCCAGCATTCCTGGGAGTCAGCTGGTCTTCTCATCTTACAGAGAAGGAGACTAAGGCTCAGAGAATATGAACTCTTGCCCAAGGTCACACAGCTAGAAAGTGGCAGGGTAAGGCCTGTATTTCTAAGTAAGCATCCTCTAAAACTTGAGACTTTAAAAGTCAGTGCTGAGTGTGAGTTGTTCTGCCCTAAAGGCAGCCTGGGTGGAGGGAGCCGTGGGGTAACAATATCACCACTGTCATTCCCAGGGGCGATGTGGTAAACCAGGACGACCTATACCAGGCCTTGGCCAGTGGTCAGATCGCAGCTGCTGGCCTAGATGTGACAACCCCAGAACCACTGCCTACAAACCACCCTCTTCTGACCCTGAAGAACTGTGGTAAGCACTGCAGCTTTCCTGAAGCAAACCCACTGCTGCCCTGGGGCCCTTCCTGAGGTACAATGCCACACACAAAGGGACTCACCCAAGGATCCTATTCTTCACACTGTTAGTGACACTGGTCCGTAATGGGAAGGGGCCAGCTGAGCACACTCAACTGGCTCTCTGTCCCTAAAGGAACAGAATGTAGAGCGCGCGCACACGCACACACACACACACACATTTTTTTTTTTTTTTTGTAGAGACAAAGAGTCTCCTTTTATCACCTTCAGTAGAATGCCGTGGTGTCACACAGCTCACAGCAATCTCCAACTCCTGGGCTTAGGCGATTCTCTTGCCTCAGCCTCCCAAGTAGCTGGGACTACAGGTGCCTGCCACAACACCTGGCTATTTTTTTGTTGCATTTTGGCTGGGGCCGGGTTTGAACCCACCTCCCTTGGTATATGGGGCCGGCACCCTACCCACTGAACCACAGGTGCTGCCCAGATGTATATATATTTTTTTGAGACAGAGTCTCACTATCTCGCCCCTGATAGAGTGCTGTGGTATCACAGCTCACAGCAACCTCAAACTCTTGGGCTCAAGCAATTCTTTTGCCTCAGCCTCCCAAGTAGCTTGGGACTACAGGCGCCCACAACACCAGGCTATTTTTTGGTTGTAGTTGTCATTGTTGTTTGGCAGGCGCTGGGTTTGAACCCGCCAGCTCTAGTGTATGTGGCTGGTGCCCTAGCCGCTGAGCTATACGTACTGAGCCGTAAATAACATTTATTTTTAAAAAGAGTGGGCTGACAACGTATCTTACACCTGTAGCTTTTCCTGGATAAAAACCCATAACTATAAATTCTATTATCAGTTTAAGTGTGGAAAACTAATTGTAACTTAAACACCAATATTTACAACTTGTGCCAGTCATCAAGCTGTTGTCTCTCAGTAGCAAAGCTTCCTTCTCTATTCTGCTTGTGGGGCTGGCCCTCTGTCCCAGCCCTGCCAGGCCCTGTCAGTGTGGGACATTGGGGGACCTGCTCTCAGCTGAGAGTGGCAACTGGCAGCACCAGTTCCTTCCTGTAGCTGCTGAAGAATCCAGTTTGCAGTTTTTCCAACACTCAGCCAGGCCTGTTGGGCCCCCCTCAGAGGTACAGGCAACAGCCACTCAATGCCCTGGCCACAGAGGTCTGAATTTCAGCTCCAGAGTGGCCCTGCCTTCAATATTCCAGGTTTTAACAATTCTACCCTTCCCCTCTGCCCCTCTAGTCCTTGCTTTAGGCAGTTACTACCCCTGTTACCCTAGTACTGGAGTTCTCATACTTTTGCATTCCTCAGTCACCAGGAAGGGTGACTCACCAAACACAGGTTGCTGGGCCCCAACTAGAGGGGTTCTGTCTCAGTCAGTCTGGGGTGGGGCTAAGACTGCACTTCCAGCTACCTCCCAAATGACACTGATACTGATGGTCGTGAGACCACACTTTGAGAATTACTGCCTCAATTTTGTTGTTTTTTTTTTTTTTTAATTTTTTTGCCTCTTCAGTTACCTAGTTAACAACTTTAGGCAAAGTTAATAATCCTTCATATTAAGTTCTCTCTATTCAGGTAGCTGGTGTGGCTTCTGCCTCAGACTGAATGGTCAAGCCCTTAGGCTGTCTTGGCCAGTCCCTGTGTCTTTAAGTTCTGGAATAGAAACACAAATGGGAGGTCTTTAACCACCTTCCCCAGTGAATGCTCCCAATGTTGTAGCCCTTGGAAACTCTACAGTCTTGCCTCCTACTCCAGCCTGCAAGGAACATTAGCTGTAATGTCAGGGCTGTTTGCATGGCCAAGAAAATTAGCCCCATCCCCCAAGACCTAGGAGTTTAGCTCAGGGCTCTAGGTACTGGGTATTGCTTTCTAAGGAATGTTTTTTAAATAAGAGATTAGGTCTTGCTATGTTGCCCTGCTGGACTCAAACTCCTGGGCTCAAGGTATCCTCCTGCCTCAGCTTCCCAAGTAGCTGGGATTACAAGCAGATGCCTCCACACCTAGCTGGCAATTCTCTGGGAATAAGCACTTGCTCTGTAGTGGGACCAAAGGGACCTGTGCTGTCTCACACTTCATCTTGGAGTTATTTCTGTAGATCAGAAACCCTATGGCTCTGTGCCATCATTTTGAGGGACACAGGGTGTGGGTGGTCATTGTTAAATCGTACCATTAATTGAAGGGTTGGGTCTAGGTTAGTGCTAAGACCCCTGCTAGTGCCAACGTTGTTGTATTTGGGATATAAACCTCTCATCCACTTATGTCTCGTTTCAGTAGCCTGGAGTCCCTTTATTCTGTCCCTTTGAACCTCAGCCTTGGGGGAGTGGGGTGCTTAGTGGCAGCAGGAGGAAAGGCAAAGCAAGGCCTAGATCAGGCCACTTCTTTTTATTTTTCTTACTGGCAAACACAAGCCATAATAAAAGGCCAACTGAAGATTTTATTTATTTATTTAAGACAGAGTCTTACTTTGTCCCCCTCAGTAGAGTTCCATCGTGTCTTAGCTCACAGCAACCTCAAACTCTTGGGCTCAAGCCATCCTCTTGCCTCAGCCTCCTGAGTAGGTGGGACTACAGGTATCTGCCACAACGCCTGGCTATGTTTTAGAGATGGGGTCTTGCTCTTGCTCAGGCTGGTCTCAAACTTGTGAGTTCAAGCGATCTACCCACCTTGGCCTCCCAGAGTGCTGGAATTACAGGTGTGAGCCACTGTAATTGGCCTGGCCCCCAACTGAAGATTTAAACCACCCTTCATATCCCCCCCTTCCACTCTTTTCCAGTGATCCTGCCCCACATTGGCAGTGCCACCCATGGAACTCGCAACGCTATGTCCTTGCTGGCAGCTAACAACTTGCTGGCTGGCCTGAGAGGGGAGCCGATGCCCAGTGAACTCAAGCTGTAGCCAAACAGAAGACATCAAGGGCTGGGAGGAAAATAGCACCCTGGTGTTCTGTTGGGTGTGCCTACAGGTGGAGCCAAGGGGAAGTCTGATCTGTCCTGATTCTTCGAGGAAGGACTGGTGCTGGTAGATGTGCTCGCTACATTTGTGGTTGGGGGGGAAGCTAAGAAAAAAAGAGCATCAAACTCAGTATAGTGCCTTGTGCCTGTAGTCCCAGCTCCTCAGGAGCCTGAAGCCAAGAGTTTGAGGCTGCAATAAGCCATAATGATGCCTGGGAAAAGCCACTACACCCTAGCCTGGGTGACACAGTGAGACCCCCATCTCTAAAAATAAATAAATAAAAAGAGCATCTGCTTACTTCTCCTAAATCAGGGCTTCTAGTGGTATGCTTGTCTCTGCTTCCCTCCCCAGCCCTCTCCCCCAAGCATTTTCATTATTAGAGCCTGTCCAAACCATGTTACTCCTGATCCTCTTTGCCCTAATTCCTTCATTTGTCCCTTACCCACAATAGAACACGCAAGCAGAGCCCAGCTGTGACCATGACACTTGAATCTGAAACCTAGACCATCTGGAAAATTAAAGAGCACATACAAGTAGAGTTAATTAGAAGAAATGAAAATTAGGTAAGGGCACAACGCTTACCTTCTTTTGGTCAAGAATAATTGCAAGTAGGTGGGTTTCTTAATTTTAACACGAATTTCAGCTCCTGTACACTCTGCTCCCTTGCCCGGCTCATCTGCCATCCCTGCAGGTGGATACTCTCTTATTAATCATCACCTCACCCACTCCCCAAAGTCCAGCCACAGCATCTCCACTGCCAAAGCCCTGCTTTGTTCTCAAGGAATCAGCTTCCAGTTTTAAGCCTGCTGCCAAACTGGCAAATGGGGCTTTCAACTTGGGAAGCAGGTCAGGGAACGGCACACAGGGGAGCAGGTCTTCTGAGAGCAGCCAGGCGGACCAAAACAAAACCTCACACACATCCGTAGCTCAGAGACAGAAAAGGCAGGCAGGGGGAAGGCAGAAGGGAATAATTTGAAGGAAACCACCAGTAATTGTTAATAATTGACAACAATATCTTCTAGTAGGTGTGATTTTAAAAAAAAGTACTCATCAAAGCAGGATTAGCAGAGAAAGAGATATGACCCTTTTTTTTTTTACCATAACAACCTAGGTAAAGAAAAAGAACACATATTTAGAGGCATTGATATGACAAATTTTTTATTTCATAATATCAAATTGTGACCAGCATAGCACCACTGACATGGGTGCCTTGATAGAACTTTCAGGATTCTACATGATCATGCCAGGCTATAATTAAGGCTAACCAATCAAAATTCAGGTACCCAATAACAGTTATAATCCAGGTAGAAACTACAGATCATAGGAACCCTGGGACTGGTTTTCCAGGGAACCTTGGAATTATTTTTTAAGTGCTATACCATGTACAAGGACACTGGCCCACAAGCTTGCTTCTCAAACTTAGAAACTGACTGACTAAGAGGTAGATGAGAGATTCCAGATTCCATCTAGCAGTGGAGAGGCAGGGCTCCTGCGTGCATCAGAGAGAGGCCCCTGACGCAAAGTCTGCTTACAGACAAGGGGAGGTGAAGGGGCAGGCTGCTGGCACAACCCCTCAAGACAGACAAGACAGAGGTTTGCACTGCCCTGCTGGTGGCACTAGCTCCTCTCCACAGGCCCAGTTCTTAGTTCTCCCCCTTCCTAGTTCTCTGTGCTGACTCACTTGAATCCCAAGATCAATCTGCTCCTAAGACACCAGTCCCTATACCACACAGTGGTGGATGCAGTGTCTCCTCGCACTGTCAGAACACGGTAGCTAACGATGAGCCATACATAGAACTGAATAGAACAGGTGATCCCACAGCCTCCAAAGGCCGCTTTCCTACATCTCCTAAGAGGAGGAATCACAGGTTTCCCTTTGGGTTTTCCTCCCTGGGAATCAATTCATAGGAGACCCCCAAGCTCCTCTGGAACATTATGAATTATCTGCCGATGTATAACTGCACACACTAAAAGGAGAAGACACATGTTTTTGTTTTAGGTTCCACATAAATACTTAAGCTTTCTAAACACCAGAACTAAATAATTTCTCTGAATTACCACAATGATTTGGTATCTCAAAATAAAATGAACTCATGTTCATGCATGAATTAAACTGACTTCATGAGTTCTATGGAAATGCATTAATCTGTGCTGTTCCTCTCCACACACAAGCCAGGGCTTGGCCTACCACAGGTGCCACCAATAGCCCCAATGGCACAGGGTCAATGGCAAGGTGGGGCCTGGGAAGTAAGCCTGGAGAGGCCCTGGGCAGTGATCCAAAGCAACTTGGCGACTTCTGTGCTACAGGCTGCCTAACTGTTACGGAGCCTGGAAAACAGCCATGAGTGATGTTTGGATTTCAAACCATTTTTAACATTCAGTATTGGATTGGGGAAATAACAATAAAAGTTTAGGATCTACATTGTTAAAGTACAGTATATAATAGTAATAAAGCCCATAGGGTGGCATTTTTGGTTAGTTTTTAACTGACAGCAGTCCTCTAGGCCTGGAAGGGACACTATATGGGGCATGGGAGTATGAAGAAATGAAGCCGAGAACAGGCTTGTCCTTGGGTGGGATGCGTTGGCCTTTGACATCTCGATGGAGCAAAGGGTAAATGTGCCAAGAAAGACCCCACAAAACATGACTCCACATCATTGGAACAAAGACAAACACTAGCTTTTCTTTGACTTCCTAACATGGAACTGTAACATGTCATACAAGTTGGTTAAGATACTGCTAAAACAGCACATACAGAAACAATACCTTACTTGTCACTTTCTACAAGTACATACTCCATTTACAACTTTGTTTTTAAAACCAGAAAAAACTGTTAAAACATCCGACAGTGATGTATTCAAAAGTATATACACCTAATAGTCCAAGAGAATGCTCGCTCTGGACCCAGTGTCAGCACCATCAAAGTGCAGTGTCTGTGACTGCAAATCAGACCAAAATAAAAAATACAGTACTTTCTGAGGCCTAGGAATAGCTCATGATACACTTTAAAGCATTTGTGGCAGACAAGCGTGTCCTCAAGGGCCTTCCTTTCAGACAGGCGCCAAGTCACCACTGGTTACACATAAGTGCATTTTGCATCACTGTACAGAGATATAATATTCCCATCAGAGGGTATAGGAAATTTAATTAAATGCTTCACAGAGTTTTATAAAAATTGCTAAAAAATTTTTTTTGCACTTCAATTTTTTAATTGTTAAATGTGCCACTTTTAACAACATCAATTAGAAACTACTTTATGACTGTAGTACTCAACCCTAAGGAAGAACTGGGTTTCAGGGATTGCATCCCTCTCCCAAGGCATGCCCTCCACTCAGGAGCGCAGCAGCACTAACGCTGCCTTTATTCGTCCTCCACTTATTAGTTACTGAAATTTGCAAGAGCCACTGGGTGGCCTGAAGCTTCAAACCCAGTGGCACTCCTTGCTTACCGAGAGAGATTTCAGTTTCAGCCCCACAGCTGTCCTCACCACTGTGTCGCGAGGACACATAGCTAGAGCAGAGTGCTGGGGAGGTTGCTGCTCTGCCAGCGCAGGCAGGTGGTCTTCGAGTGTTTATACAGGTGACTAGACTGGCTGAACCTCTTGCCGCACTTCAGGCAGGCATAGGGCTTTTCACCTGTGTGAACGCGGATATGCTTCTTGCAATCTGTCAAAGTCAGGAAAGTTTTGCAGCAGATTTTGCAGGCATACTTGCGAGCTCCCTCTACAACCAAAACGTTGTGCTCTGATAAGGCCTTCTTGCACTTTGATAGGACATCAGCAGATGCCCTGGTCAACTGTGGAGGGCCAGGCTGGGAAGGATGGCCATTATCAAATGAGGAGGTAGCCCCATTCATCATGAGCTGGGAACTGGCAGAATTTTCTGGGATCTGTGAGCTCCTGACGGAAGTTACAACTGGCATTTTTGGAGCTATGCGGCGGTAGTATGGAAAGTTACTGGCTCCTCCCCTTGGGGAGCCTATCATAACCCTGGAGAAGGAGGAGTGGAGGCCCAAGCCAGACCTGGAAAAATCCATCCCAAACTGTTCTCCTTGGTAGCCAGATGTCTGCACACATGGCAAGCCCATCACCTCCTGCATAGGCCTAACAAAGTGGGAGTCCGCAGGTTCACTAAATGGGTTCTCCACGTGGGAGCCAGGGGCAGAAGAGGGCCCGCCTGCAGGCCCAGACTCTGGACTCAACAAATAAGGTGCCTCACCCTCTAGCCTGCAGTCACTAGTGGTGTTTGGGATATTATCGTCATTGTTCTGATTTGCACTAAAGTTACTTCCTCTACTCTTATTAAGAAAATTTGAAATACTAAAAGTTGACTTATGCTCTAAGTTATTTGTGACTTCTAAAATATGGATGTCACCTACTCTGTCCGTGGTAGACTGGGGATCTGAAAAACTCCGATCACTGCTTTCAGGGCTGAGGTCTATCTTCTCAGCACTGACCACAACTCCTTCCACTTCCACAGACTCGCTGCCTTCTGCCTGGGAGGTCACATCACTCACTTCATCCTGAGGTTCTGGTGAGCTCAGGGGCTCAGATTTAACCACCACTCTCATGTGTTCCTTCTCCCCAAGGCCAACCTCAGGATTTTCACACTGAAAACTACTTTTCTCAGTTGCAGTTTCCTGATCAAAACTAGTTTCAACCTGAGTTGCACGTGAGGCCATAGATAATTGTGGCATGTTGCCAGCACTGTTGTCAGACTGGCTGGGCACCTGGGCATCTTCTTGAGCGCCAAAAGACTGGTCAAACATGATAGCACTGTCTTCCTGGTTGTCGGTCATTCCATCAGCTTTAGGGTTATCCACAATTTTTAGAGAATCTGGTGAAAAGAACTCCTCCCGAGAATGAACCCCTGAAGGCCCATTCTCTGGTGTAACATCTGAAATGGCAGATTCATCCATGGAGGGTCGGAGGCGCTGTCTGGCCCGCTCCTCTGCGGACTGCTTGCGCTTATGAAGGCGTCTCATGGGGAAGGCCGTCCGCTGGTCCAGGTTACTGCGCATGGACGAGCTCATGGGGGCCGGCTGTTCCTCACCACCCTGGCTGGAACTGAGGGCTGAGCTCACGATGCTCAGCCCCAGCTGCTGCAGCATGAAGGAGCGCTGCATGCGGGCGCTCTGCTCCTGCACGCGCTCACTGGGGGGTGACATGGGCAGCGTCCTTGTCGTTAGGTAATGTTTACATGCCTTAACCACAGAGTTCAGATGCAGGTGAGAGGCTGCCAATAAGACATCCATAACATTGCTTTCTCCCAGCATAAGGGTGGAGGTATACATCATGTCAATCAGTGCAGCAAAGGCCTCTGCTGTCACCACCTCACTATCCAGCTGGATCATGTTCATGGTCTGATCTCCCTCTGCCACTGAAAACAGGGCTCGGAAATGTGTGCTGCAGGCTGCCAGCACGGAGCGGTGGGCTTTAAAGTGTCTATTCCCCACTACAATGACACAATCACAGAGCTGACCATGAAGTCTCTGATAGTTCAGTTGCTGGAAGATCTGTTCAAAGTGACCAGGAAAATCCATGATCCTACAGGAAAACAAAGAAAGAAAAGTATTAAGACTTAGATAAGCTTAAGTCAAAGTCAGAACACAAAGTGTGGGATGAAAAGAGAGGCACAGGTGGCCAAACCAGAAACGTTTCCAGCTTGTGATGTCTCTGATGACAGGCGTATACGTAAGAACTTAATAAAGAGCAAACACCAGCTTAGCTATCAGCCCACAAAGTACACACACATCGGCTCGGCTCCTATAGCTCAACCGGCTAAGGCGCCAGCCACGTACACCTAAGGTGGCGGGTTCGAATCCCCAGCCTGGACCCGCCAAACAACAAT